TTTTTTATTTTTAAGGAGACATGAAAAATAATTATATATATATATGAAAATATACAAATGAAAACCAATTCAAAATATTAATAAAAAAAATTTATATGGTAAAATATTGGTTCATACACATTAAGAGTGGAAATAAGGCAAAAGCAAACAGCTTCTCTGGTCCGGCTGTTTTTATGTCTGAATCCGGCCAACATTCGGTCCCAAACATACTGCAAATAAAAATACTTTTATTAGTTTTAAGCACAACTGATGTAATATGTCTCTGGAGCCGGAGGCTGTGAGGGCCTCACCTGTGGACTGGCCGCTTGCTCCATGGTTTTTAACAGAAGAGACTGCGCTTGATCTCGAACCTGGTCCTTAGAGTCCCCTAAACGATCGATTAAACTGGGCAGAACTGAGAGAGAACAATCTAAATCAGTGCATAAAACTTTATAATATTTACTCAAAACGTGTGCATTTGCTCTTAATAAAATAAAATATTATTTAAAAGATAATGCAATAAATATTCAATATTATTAAAGAAAAAGTGTCACCTGTTCCTATCTGTGTTCTGAAGCGCTCCTGTAATCTGGTCACTAAAGCAGACACTATGTCCATTCCCAGCAGAGCCACCTTAAAAAGACCAAAATTATTCATCAGAGTAAGATTAAAGTAGGATGTTTCAATAATAACATCACATCACAAATGACATTCAGTAACATTCACAAGTCGAAACGGCACTGAAAGCATTTTTTCTCCGAGTCCGACTGTGTATGCAAATCTACGCTGCAAAGGATTGTGGGTAATGTCCGCTAAACTGCGTTTCATCGTCAAATATTCACAAAAACAGGGTCGGTTTGTAGTAAATGGTCACAGATTCTGTGACAGCGAGAGGTGTTGAATCAGACAAGCACACTATTTGCGCTGAACAGCAGAGTTTGTGTTTCTTCACAGTCACCGTCGTCGTGAAGAGCAGCCGCGCTGTAGGAAAGCATTGAGACGAGCGCTCGCGGTTATCCTTCCTTGTCTGGGGGTGGACTGGGCGGCTCAATGAGCGTGTAGCGAGAGCAGCCCTGCTGACACCTAACCAACACAATCCGCATCACCTGGACTGCAGTGTTCGGGCTATGGTGCAATTTTTGGAACCTACA